AGGCCACTTGTGCTTGGAGCGCAGTTCTAGCAAGTGAACTTTCTGGAATAAGGATTGCGCCCGAATTGCTGTGGGGGGTTTTTTGAGTGGCAGCCATAGGGGATGGGAGCTAACAGTAAATCATTAGGGCAGAGGGACGTGGGACACATGGATGTCTAGCTGAGCTCTTGAAGGCTGTTGCTGAGTGGGGGGGAAGCAAAATGTCATCTTACCTTATTGGCATTTTAAGGAGGGAGTGGAGAAGCTGGGAATGACAGAGCATCCTCTTATGAGATGTATTTGTTTTCTTACGAATGTCAGCAGTGCCCCTCTAGAAATTTGATTCCAAGTTTAACAAACTTCTGATTGCATTTGCATGTTCTGCAAACGGGGAAGATGTGTCTAGCTGTAATTTTCAGTCTCGGTCATTGAACTAACAAGATGTGACCTCTGTTTCCAAGAGCTCAGGACACTTACATGCCCATGACAGAGGTGCTATAAAACCATGCCAGGTAAGAGGTATATATAGGGCACTGGTTTGCTTTCAGTATGGTCTCTTGAAAAGAATTGGGCAGTGTCCAGTGCTGACCTCAGTCTTTTTGTGGGCTAAATTAACGTCTTTATTCTGCTTGGCAGTGTGGGCCAAGAAGAATTCTAAAATGAATGCAAGAATTTGTGGTGTGCAAGATGTCTGAAAGTCCCCTCAATTGTTTTTGTGTTTCATCAGTGTGTTGTTACAAATGGGCCTGTGTAACACACAGGAGAGTCTGCGAGCCCTTACTGGTTGACAATGTGAATGGTGTAGTGCTGGGGCCCTTTTAAGTGGGGGATTATCCGTCTTGCACTGTTGTTGGATGTAGTTATGAATCTGTTTTCATTTGAGGAAAAGAAAAGCCCAGTAGATGTCATTTCATGTTTAAAATGTGAAGCTGAGGTGTAAATTACCATCCTGCTGCTACTGATCCACGGAGGAGTCATGAGCTTTGAAATAGAAACAGACCCAAATTCTGAATGTCACTGGCTGTACAAAAAAAGTATGTCATGCTGGAAGGTGAGTTTTAGGCTTCTCCATTTTTATGATACTATACTCCTAAAAGAAAAACTGAAAAAAACTCTTCCACCCTTTTCAGTGTAGGAAGGGGAAAAAAGTCCTGTCTTCTACTCCAGGCACATCCAGCCTCAGGTTTGCTACTTTAACAGGAGGAATTATTTCTGGAAAGAAATAAAATAGGCATTGGGAGCTCTCACACCTTCACTGAGAACACGTCTTTTTTCCTCAAGACCAGGCTGGGCAGAACCTCTCGCTTTGATGAGTATTAGGACTGGGACCTTACATGCTGGGCTCTGCCTTCTGCTTTTGTTCTGTTGCTTCATAACAGTCATCAGGACCAGTCTTTTGACTCTCTAAACTCTTCTCTATCTGTTAGTTGGGCACGATAGTAGCTTACTCAGTGGTGATGCCTGAAGGAGAAACTGGTGATGGTGAAGCCATGGAGGGGCTGGTGACAGCGCAGCTCCACGTCTGTCATGGTTTATGGGTACAGGGTGGTGACCTGCTGACAGGGGAGTTCCTTGCAACTGTGGTGGCCTGGCATAGTAGGAAGCTTGAAGTAAGCAGAGCAGAAACAATGGCTCAAATAAACGCTTGCAGATGGTTGTAGGGCAGTGGAAGAGCTGCTGACTCTGAGGCGTCTCGCTGGGCTTCCCAGAGAGCTTCTCAGCCAGGGATGAGCAAGAAGGGTGAGACCTGAGTGCTTTTTCAGAAGAGACTGTGTCCGGGCCTCGTGTATAGGAGCTGGGCGTTGATGGGACCTGCTCGAGAGTAGGCAAATTCACTCATCTGACCCTCGAGGGTGTCTTGAAAAGCATGGACTGCCTTGGCTGTAGGCGAGGGAAAAGACTTGCCTAAGCTCCCTTTCTCCAGATGCTTTTTATTGCTACTGTATGGAATTAAATAGATGGGAATTAAGCGGATTGTTATGCGCGTTCCCTGTTCATTGCAGATTCCCAAAGGACAGTTTTAGTCTCTGTGGTGGGTAAGTAGGGCTGACACTCTGAGTCCTGCAACTGAAGGCCCAGTCGGAGCACCAGAGGAATGGGACTGCGTGCCAGGAGAGGTAAAAGCACAAGGTCTGGCACTGGAGGAGCTCCCTTGGAGGGGGAGGAGGCAGGAAGGATGTAAGTGTGTATTTAGGCCTGCTTCAAGGAAAGCTGCAAAGAGGCATTGGCATTTATATACAGGAGGTAACACGTAGAGGTTTTTTGGTGGTGTGGGTCCCGTCCCCGCCCCCGTCCCCTGTCGTCCGTGTCCCATGTGTCCGTCCCCGCCCCCCACCCCAGTTAAAAAAAACTAGGTTCAGTCTGAGTAAAAATTGGCCTTTCCTCACAGTTACTCAACTTCAGTCCCCCTTGTCATGTCGCTGGCTGTGCAGTTGCCGTGGCCTCCCGCAGCAGACAAACTTGTTTTTTTTGGAAACCATAGGAAACACTCACTTCCACCCTTTCTCTTTTTTGTGAGGCAGCTTTTTTTATAGCCATTGTGAATGTGTCCAAAAGTAGCAAAGAGCTTGGAAGGCTACTCTGCATTTCTTCTTCCTTTTGCAGGTCAGCTTGAGCTTTTCCCCATGTTCCCCTCCAGTAAGTGGACATACTGATATTTACACAAGGAGCCTAGAAGTCAACAGATGAAAATTTTTGGAATGGAGAGAAAAGGGGGCCTTTGGTTTTTTTGTTTCAGAGCTTGGTAGATGCATGCTTTGCCTCTTGCACAATGTTGTGAAGCTGTGTGGAGAACCTGCCTGTGGAGGAGAACTTCAACACCAGAGGAGGTTTCTGCCTGGGTCCCCGTGCTGCTCAGTTTAATGAGGCGTGCTGGCTTTTGGCAGGTTTCCGACTGGCTGCCACTCCACACCACTGTCTCTCATTAGGTGGGACATTTTTAGATGCTGGATTGAATTTACTTCCATCCCGTGCAGACCTGGTGGTGGTCTGTTTTTTACACACTCTAATTTACAGAGCTAGAGCCAAGCTACTAAATTATTAAGCTAGGGTTTTAATAGAAACCCCTGTGTAGGCTTAAATTGTTTCCACTCTATTTGGAGTTTCCTGCTCTGCTGGTTTTTATTTTGTCCCATGCATGAAAGCGTGGAGGGAGGAATTCACAGGAAAGCACACAGGCAAAGAGGAAGAATTTGGCCTGAGAGCACTAGAAAATACAGATGAAATAAAAGGTTAATTGATACTGTATCCAGCTCTGATGGAGGTGATAGGAGAAAAAAAAATGCTTCCTAATCCCCATGACAGTTCAGCGGAAACTTGTGTGTTTGTTTTCAATGCTGTTTGTAACTTGGGTATCTCAATAAAGTATTTTCTTGCCCAACTTCTTTTGTCTTGACCCCTTCCCCAGGGCTTGAAAGGGATGTTTGTCAGCAAACACTGCTCTCCTAGTTTTTCCCCCAGTGTCAAACACTGCTGTCGCCAGCGGGACGGTAGTGCTTGGTCGGGTGGGACTTCCCTCCTCCGTGGGGGATCCCCCTTCCAGCTTTGCACTGCTTCTGCCCGATCCTCCCCTTGTGGCAGGCTCTCCCCTACAGTCCCGCACCACTGCGTGTTGGGTCAGGATTACACTTGCCCATTAAGTGCTATGTAGGTCGGATTTGGTTGGCATGGCTTGTTTTTTAGCAGTGCACCAATGAATTTGTGTTGTCCCTGATGACAGGTATCGTCTCTGTCCTCTACTGAATGGGTTGACTGTCACACAGTTAAAGTGAGGGATGTTGTTTGAACTGGGGGCTCCTGGTAGACCAGGAGTCTTCAGCAGTGATTCCCTGAGGCTGCTTCGTCGTGACTGGTGACCTCCTTCCTCTGGGGGTAATTAGATGGGAGAGGTTCGGAAAAACAACGATAAGGAGGAGGCAGTGGGCTGAAACTGGTCAGCATGTGTCTGCTCGTGCCCTTCACTGGGCAGCCACTGTGGGCATGCGCCAACTCCCAAGTGAGGGGACTACTTTCCACCGTGACAGAGCGTGGTTGCAGGATGCATTCCAACTGCTCAGAGATTTTGAAGAGCCATCACAGTGGTGCAACTGGGGTTGTTGAACACAGCTACAGTGAGCCAAAGCAACCGAGCTTGGAGCAGATCTGTTACCAAACTCTCTGAATACATGGTATATCTTACAACATGTAAAAACAGCTTAAGCCATCTGACTTGGCTCATGTGCATATGGTACTAGTAGCTATTGGCTGAATCCCGCCTGGAGTTTACAGGTCTGGCTGAAGAGAAAGTTGGGCTGTGAATTATAAAGGCTACCTTCGTCACTCAATGGCAGGAATAGCACGGCAGTTCCTGTCATTGTCATCACGCTAGAGCCATGTTTGGGTACTTACTGTGTTTAATTGCATGGCTGATTTACTTAATGTCTCTCCTGGGGTCACTCATAACACATTTATTTTTAGGATTCGGGGAAATTAGGGACACTAGCAATCCGTTGTGGATCTTTCCCAAGGCAGGAGTTTTCCAGACGACGATGGTAATAACAGCAGTGGCTTAGTCGCAGAGTAACCTGGCTAAGCTGATGAAATTAGCACTGGCAACTATGGTAGAGCTTAATGCTTGCAAATAAACCTTCTCCACTAAAAATATAGTACAAGTGTAGGCGGAGGCTGTGAGTTCCCTGGGTTTGGATAACTTGGAGGATATGGGTATACTTTATTGGAAAATCCCTGGCAGTGCCTGCTGGCTTTCAACCCCATAAATAAAGAATTTTCTGATCAAATACTCAACGTTTGGGTGTGTGTAGAACTGAGGTGGTCATATGTCCTCCCTGGTATACAGCTATGAATCATTCTGTTTCATGACAAACTTGTCGTGCCCCAACAGAGGAGCTCCTTTGTACCTGGCTGGTAGCTCCAGTGGGGCGTCTAACATGCTTCTCAATTGCTTTTAGGAAAGACAACATGCTGAAAGGCCTGTGGCAACAGTCAGCCTAATGCGCCTTACTCTGCTTGTTGTTTTTAAACAGATGGACCTCTCTGTGGAAACTCTTTATAGCTTCATGCAGGAGCGCCAGAAGAAGTATGCCAAGTATGCGGAGCAGATCCAGAAGGTCAACGAGATGTCTGCCATCCTCCGCCGTATACAGATGGGCATCGACCAGACAATCCCGCTGATGGAGAGGCTGAACAGCATGCTGCCGGAGAGCGAGAGGCTGGAGCCCTTCAGCATGAAACCTGACCGGGAGCTGAAGTCTTAGCTGATCCGGCGGGCTCCCCCTCCTCACCTTCCATGCTCCAGCGTTCAGCACAGACACACTTCCAATGGGCTGGGCTGGCAGATGTTTGAAGCGGACAGCAGTGCTGCCTGACTCTCTGCCAGGGCATCGGAGGAAGAGCAGCGTCAGCTGCCAGAACTGCGCAGCCAGGAATCCAGGAGCTCCCCAGTCCCGTCGTCTGGAGAAGATGATTTACCGTTCTTTCATCTCCCTCCTCTTGCCCTCCTGTCCCCTTTACCACTACCACCGCCTGTGCCGAGACATTTGTTTCATTGCTGTGACTAGATTGGGGTTTACAGAGGAGGAGTTGTCTTTCATCTGATTTTTTTTTTTTTTTTTTAAACTAGAAAAATTCAAAGGGATATGGGGTGTGACAATCCCACTAACATGGTTTTTGAGCCACTGGGGTTTAGACGATTAGATGGCTGGCAGGTATTTCTGAGATCCCCTGACCTTGGAAATATGTGTGTTTTATAGGTGAAAGTGCGGGAGCCAGGAACTGGCTTATTAAAATCTGCCTATTATCATAATTAACATGGTTTGCATGGCAGGGTTTTGGCATGTCCTTCTCAAGGCTCCTGTTTTTATGGGCTCACTAATTTATGAGGCTGTAAAGGAATAACTGTTCCAGATACATATGTCTGTTAATGTTAAGCAAGCCTTAGCATTCCTCTCCCCCTTGCCCTGGCAATGTCCTGGTGCCCCAGCTGGTGGCATTTCATGTCCCTCACCTTGCACAGTGATTCTGACAGGCACAGGCACAGACCTGCTCACTTTGCATCCCAAAGTTGGACACGAAGTGTCTTCTTTTTATTTTTACTGGGACGCTCCAGTTATTTTGGTGCTGCCTTTTTCTACCAGAGGGATGTAGTTGTTTCTTTACGTTCAAGTGTATGGAGTTGGAGGGGGGAGATATGAGAAGTCCTTTAGGTCTTCTTGGCTTAGCTGCTGTCACGCCAAGAGCTTGCTTGAGTGCAGTGTTTTATGAGTGAAAGCACACGGCGCTTTGGGACTGTGCTCTGTTCCAAAGAGGGACCGAACTGTTCCAAAGGAAACAGGATGCTCTTGCCTTCTCCCAAGCCGAGGGCCCTGCTGGGAGGCAGGCAGTGTGTCCACGCCACCCAGGCGCTGGGCTGGCCCGTAGGAGATGACTTGGTTGCCAAGTCCGCCACTGGTCTGCTGGCTGCAGGCGATTTGCAGCACCTCTTTGAGCTTTGGTTTCTCCCTGTATAAAACAGGGGGATACTCTACACACTGCTGTAAAAATATTTACGAATGTAGAAATAAGGTTTAACAGCCTGGGTCACCATTGCACGGCAGCTCTTGTCTGCAGCAGAAAGGGTGTGAAACAAGAAACAAGGAGTTTGCTGGGTCAAGGGTAGGTTTGTGTGTGTTTATGTTAGTCCCAGGATGCTGTTGCTGGCGAGGAGGCTGAAGTGTACCCATGAACCCCAAGGGTTGTTGTACATCAGGAGTGCAATTCCAGTGGTGAGGCCAGCTGTCTTTGAGAGAGTCAGCGTGACAACCCATCTTCCTGCCAAAGGCAACTTGCTTCATTACCTCTTAGTACTTAAGAGTACTTAATCAGCAAAAGACGGTCTCTAAGCATTTGGGAGTAAGAGCGTGGTAGGTTTTTGACAGTATTAATTGCTGCCTGGTGGCAGGAAGCAATGGGCCATTCTCTTGTTGCATTCCCAAAGGCCATGTAGCCTAGAGTGAATTTTGTGATGTAGACTGCAGGCAACTTAGATATCTATCTGAACCATAGTAGTAATTGCATCTTAGGGCCTGCTGAACACTGTCTGAAAGCAGAGTCTCATAGAAATGAAGCCCCCTGGAATGATGACCTGGGAAGAGCAATTGACTGCTTGAGAGACGGCCAGGAACTCAGCAGATTTTCTAGTAAAGGCGGCAGAGTGGGCCTGGTTGTCTACTGCTTCCACCCCAGTGTTGTTACATCATTGTGTATATGTAGGCGTATGCTGTATGTTGCATGGGATATAACATCAGGCTTCTGTCCTTGTTCATGCATCCTGCAGTATTCTACACTTGGTTTGTTAAAAGCTTACATGAGACTTAACAACCCATGAGAACCTGCTTGTCATGGCCATGCCTGTGAGGGTCCTCATCGTCCATCACTGAATGTGTCTCTGCCTGCCACTATCAGACACACCAGAATATTCAGCAGCTTTAAATAGCGGCTGCAGGCATTTTTGTCGTCGTCCTCCAGATGATGCTGTCTGGAAGTTTAGAATGTGCGACATTCAGCCGTCTGCCAGACAGGATCACGGATATCCCACACCCTGGCGTGCTGGAAGCCTATACCGGTGGGAAGATCCTGATATTGGATCTTGAGGCAGGGGCTAGGCTGCAGATGCTCTCTCCTGTAAAGCTTCTAGACATTTGGCCTCATGCTATTAAGTATGAGATCAAAGCATTGCTCCTTGCGGTGCTAATGAGGGCAACTGAATAGTATTCCTATCTGAAAGCTGCAGGAGTGAGGGCTGCAAATAGGTTCCTTCCTTATTTGCTATAAAACACCTAGACAGTGGGCTGATAATGGGAGAAAATGCTTGTTCCTATGAACGCTGGCCTTTAAGCTTGTGGATGTGTGGCTGGGCCTCACAGCTAGAGCTTTCTGAGCAGCAAGGGTAAGTTGTGAAAAAGGTCGATAGCTTAACTAGAAAGAAATCAGCTGAAACGTGAAGGCCAACCTCTTCCTAAAGCATGCAGGTCATCACCTTCAGTCCACAGGTGATAGTGTCTTGTATGGGTACTCTAAGATAGCGTGCACCCTCTAACTGTTCTCAAACGATGGTTTACGGTTTTATTTAAAACATTGTCACTGGCTTCATTAACTGTAAGTCCTTGGACCTCACCGAGGGGAGCACATTTCCTGCCACGTCTTCTTGAGCTGCTGTTTGTTGCTTGGCTGTTCCTCGTTCGCTTTGCTCTGCACACTGCTTTCAGCTTCATCTCAGATGCAGGTGATGCTCAAGGTGAGACCGTTGCTTCACTCCCTTTCACGCTGTTTAGCAGGAGATTTGAGATGTGACTGGAATTACCTTTCTGCTTACAAATTTCCTTTTCCAAGCCAAATGCTGTTGGAGAAGGCCTCAGGTATTTCGCACGAATGTACCAGCCATTACTTCTACCACAAAGTTAGTGCTATGAACAGAGCATAATCTGGCATGCTCCACTGAAAACAAACATTTCTGCCCTTTTCTGCTTTTTGAGGTGGTGCGTGGTCTGGGGTGCAGGCTAAGCTTCTTGATGTGCAATCTTCTGAAAAGCTGGAGAACGGGTGGGTCTCTGGGTCTGCGGTTCCCTCCTGGCCTGAGCTGCTTTGGTTCTTCCCCCGATGCCGCTGTTGCCACCCTGGCTTTGTGCTGCCGCTGGTGCTTGTTGCATCCTACACCCGTCAGCGTGCTACACACGCAGAAGAGGTTTGCTTTGTTGTTTCCATTGTTCTTTGTAATTTAATGCATTGACAGGGTGCTACAGTGCCAACCTATCTGCAGGACAATTTCTGTGAAGATCCAGTGAAGGGGACAGAAGAGAGTTGTGGGGTTCGGTTTTTTTTTTTTTTTAAATATGTATTTT